TAAAAAAAAAAGATGGGTTATATTAGGAAGAACATGGCATCAAGACTGGAGGAAGGTTCCTAACAACAAGTGACATGCATATGACACAACCTTTCTGGCCAAAGGCTAAGAGGACTAGAAGCCCTTGCTGATGAAGATCTGGAGAATACAGCCATCAGTATGGATTACAACTCAAGGTAAACAAAACAAAATGCTCACAACTGGACCAATCAACAGCATCATGATAAATGGGTACAATATTGTCATTGTCAAGGATTTAATTTTACTTCGCCCCACAATCAATGCTCATGGAAGTATCTCTCAAGACATCAAATGATATATTGCATTGGCCAAATCGCAAAAGACTTCTTTAATGTGCTAAAGACTCATGGTGTGGCTCTGTAGGGTCAGCACCGGACTGGTTATCACAAAGTCGGCAGTTCAAACCCACCAGCTGCACCTCAGAAACCTTATACAGGGTTGCTATGAGTCAGAACCGACTTGATGGCGCTTAACAACAATAAAATGTTAATGAGCAAAGATGTCACTTTGAGGACCAAGGTACGATGTCACACCAGGACTCCTATCTAATTCTGAATGTTCCTTAAGCAAATATGTATATGTCACTATTATTATACTTCCATAATGCCTTTTTCACTGTTATGATATTTTTATAATGCTTTTAACACTTATGTATGAGCAACTTAAAATGTGAAATGGAGAACTTCTGAATTTAAGATTAGAAACACATAAATATATATATATTTCTGCAATACTACTTAACCACTAACTATATAAGTCATGGAGTTCTGGTGTGGCACTGTGGGATAAGCACTGGACTGCAAACTACAAGATCGGCAGTTCAAACCCACCACCTGTTCCTTGGAACCCCTATACAGTGTTGCTACAAGTCAGAACTGACTCGACAGCACTTAACAACAACATATACATCACTGGAAATTATTTCTAACCTAGTAGATGATAGAAGTATGTGAAAAAGATCATAAATAACTTCCCTAGATTCAGCTTTGTACCTGCACTGATCAAATCTCTAAATTTACAAAATATATATGTCACTATTCAATTCTCATAATTTTTAATTACCTTGACACATGTAGCAAAAAAGAGAATAAATAATGTCATACAATAACTCCCTAACTGAAAAAAAAACAAAAATCATAATATAAATTAGCAAAACCATAAATATGCTATACAACTATGCCCTTAACTGGCAATAAAACATGCCAATTACAGTTCGACAAGATACCACATAGGGTATGTAAATTTGTGGATTTCTGCTCTTGACTCTGAAGCCTGAGAAGCCTGCTGAGTGAGGTACTGCTCACCACAGCTGACCTTGGACTTGAGCTATAGGGGACCTCTGAATTCAAAGAGGAAGTCTCTTCCCTCATTCAGATAAAAGCATGAAATAAAGAGATCTGGATTCCAACATTTAAACTAACATTGTAATTGTTAATTCTGATTCTCCAATGCTTAGTGAATGGCTTGATGTCTTATTTGCTTGCCTTGTTACAAGTACCTTGGAGTGAACTAAATGCGTTTATGCATGACAAATCTGAGCATTTATTTTTAAAGTAAAACCCTCCATGGACACTGTCTCGCATCATCCTAGAATCATTATTATGCTACTTTTCAGAGGCTGGGTTATCAAGTGGTCTGCGAACAGCTGCTAAGTACGGCTAACTCAACAAGCTGGTGGGCACCTGAGTACACAGGTGGATGGCAGTAGGCAGTGGACATGGGCTGCTTACAGCAGTGTGCCTGCTAATGAAAGACAAAGACAATGAATTCACATAGGGAATCTGAAGAACGTGAATTCAAAGAAGGATGACGAATTCACATAGGGGATCTGCTGACTGGGTATAAATTATACACAGACCAGTCGCTGGAGAAGGATATCATGCTTGGTAAGGTGGAGAGTCAGAGAAAAAGAGGAAGACCACCAACGAGATGGACTGGCAAAGTGGCAGCATCAGTGGGCTCAAATGTGGCAACTATTATGAGGTTGGCCCATGACTAGGCAGTGTTTTGTTCTGTTGTGCATAGGCTCACTGTCAGTACCAACCTGATGGCACCTAACAACAAAGCAGCATAGTAATCCACGTGATTGTCAGATTCAAAATGGCCAATACCAACCAGTCCATTTCAGTTCACTAATGCCTAGGATATCCATGTTATGTGTTCCATTTAATTTTTGACAACTTCAAATTTTCCCAGATTTGTACTTTGTACATTCCATGTTCTAATTTTTTATGGATGTTTACAGCTGTTCCTCCTCATTTTGAGTTGTGCCCTATCAGCAAATGAAGGTCCCAAGGACTTTTACTCCATTTGCGTTATCACATTCAACTCTACTTTGAGGCAGCTCTTCCCCAGTCGTATTTTGAGTGCCTTCCAACCTGAGGGGCTCATCTTCTGGCACTATACCTGACAATATTCTGGTGTTCTTCATCATGTTTCAGTACTCAATTCTGATACTGATAGTGCTCCACTGAGATTCACAAGGTTTTCAGTGACTAAATATTTGGAAGTAATGTTTCTCCTTCTTCCTAGTCTTGTCTTCCTCAGTTTAGTAAGCATCTTATTTCTTGTATAAAGGCTCTTCCTGCTTGAGATCTAGATGTTGTGTGCCGAGTCAATTCCCACTCGTGGTGACCCTATAGGACAGAGAACAGCCATATAGGGTTTCCAAGGTTCCACATTTACAGAAGCAGATCAAATGGTGGGTTCCAACCACCAACCTTTGGTTGCACAAATATTTTCCTTCAACAACTTCTAATATTTGTTTTATTTTTTCTATTTGAGTCATTAACCCATCTGAAAATTTTCATGTTTCACTTTTGCCTATATTGTGATGTTGTTGTTAAGTGCCGTTGAGTCGTTTCCAATTCATAGTAACCCTGTATAGTGTTTCCAGAGTGACTGGTGAACTTGTACCACATTGTTTGTGGTTCAAACAATCTTGCAGTCCAGCACATATCCACAGCAACACACTAGCATGCCTATTGTGATAGCTAGTACCATTTATTAAAGAAATCACCCTTTTGGGTCAGAGGAAGTACCATCCTCTGAGACCACCCAGTGGTCTCAATCTAATTCTAGGTCACCCACTCCATTGATCTCTATACATATTTATTCTAAGTCAATCATGTTGACTGCTGTGGCTTTGCAGAATATTTTTAAACTGTCTTATAAATTTGAATTTAGCAGAGATCACGGAACACAATAACTGTGGTATCAAATTAGTTGCAAATAGAACTCAGAATCAAACTTACTTTGCTGGTTCTGAGTATTTATTTGAACTTTTAAAAAATATGAATAACAATAAAATTGAATGCTATTAGGTTAATATAAGGACTTCTGGTGTGGCACTGTAGGGTATGTGCAGACCTGCAAGGTCAGCAGTTGAAATGCACCAGTCATTCCTTGGAAACCCTATGGTTGGTCACTGAGTCAGAATCAACTCAACAGCACTTAACAAGGTTAGTATAAGGCTACAATGGTCAATCATAACCCAATTCTATGTGCTTGAGAAAAGCAACCTCATTATACTCATTGATTGCCTTTATAGTAGGTGAATATTATAAACCTGAATTTATAATCAAATTCTACTTTTCTGATTTATATATACTTTCCATATCAGATACCACATACGCAACCCTTTATAAAGTGCATTCCATGAACAGTAAGTTTGAAAACTATTGGTTTAATATAGAAATTTGTGTTGCCCTCACTATAAATCATTCAACTATTAGTCTGACTTCTTGAAATTAGGATATAATTCATGAGGAACCAACACCATGGCATCCAGCTGCAAGACTGTCCCGTCCATCCTCAAAAAGGACTTGACAATTTAGTGGGCGAGTGTCTCTGGATGCTGGATTCTAAGACCAATTATCTGCTCCTGGATGTAATGGACAGGCATTTTGTTTCAAACATCAGCTTTGGTCACCTTGTAGTAAATGCCTCATGACATGGCTAGGCCAGGATCCTTTCTTTGATAAGCATATGGTGATGTCCAGGCCAGAGCAGTGGGTAAAGCCAATGGCTATGGCAGGCACCAATCAATATAACTTTCATCTTGAAGCTACTGAGAGCCCAGGGGCTTGGTTTAAAGACATTCGTGAGAGTGGGATGGATGAAGGTTGGTCTTCCGATCAAACCAGGAACTGTAGTTGAGTATTTGGTGCCACTGGCTAATTAGATATATATATATGGCCGTGGTTATGACAGTGGAACCTGGCTTTGGACGGCAGAAATTCGTGGACAACATAATGCCCAAAGTTCACCGGTTGAGGACCTAGTTCTTTGGACATTGAGGTAGACGGAGGAGTAATCCTCCCCATAGTGTGTGGAGGCACCAGCTAGCATGATTGTGTCTGGCAGTGCCATTATGAGGAGTGAAGACCCCAGATCTGTCAAAGAAACATTTGCTCAGAAGCTGCTCAGAAACGTCCTCTCAATAGATGAAATCTCAAGCACCCCAATGTTTCTGCTCACGAAATCTCCTTTTTAACAGAAAACTAGAATGTTGACTATTAAATCACACCATGGTTTAGGCAGTGCTGTTTCTCTAAGCAATTATTCATCCCAATGACTAAAATGTATAGTGAAGAATCTCTAAGTGGGTAGAATTGGTGTGTATCTACATTTCTTAGTGATGAAATTTAAAGATTAGTGGTGGATACCCAGTTTTTACTGAGTGACTTTTTTGTGCAGTAAAAATATGACTGTATTAAGGCTACAAAACAAATGTGTCTTAATGCCAAAGAAGGCATATTAGCTATGATGAAAAAAGATCTTTTCTGTATTTCTAGTCAATATTTTCTGTTGTTTCTAATTCCTACTTGTCTGATTTTTATTGAGTAAAAAACTGGAAAAGCAAAATGGCAATTTTCATTAAATAAATAGAATTTGCTCCTTATGCAGCTTTGTGGCAGTAAGCGAAGTCCCATGATTTTCAAAGGAAGACAGTCATCTATCTCCAAAGTAATCAGTTTTCACACAGTTTCAACAATTGCAGCAATTTCCTTGAATTGTTTGTAGAAATTCTGGAAATAAAGGGAAAATATAATTACAATTTTGCTTTATTTTTTAAAAGAAATAATTAAATAGTTTTTAACTATGTGTTAAATTAACATGTTAGATTTGCATTGTAATGTTATATCTTTAGCTACTATTGAAGATTGGTATAAGGAATAAGCAGGTTCATTTTGTAACTGCAAGCAAAAATACTATTGTGGAGTTGGAAAATTCACCCTTGACTGAATTTTTTTTTTTTTAAATAATTGAGAAATTTCTTTTAAGATCAGACTAGGAAGAGTTATTAAACATCCAGTGTTGTTGTCTTAGATATTGAAGATAAAAACAAAAATGACAGGTTAGTTCCCAGGTTTCAACCCATTTTAAACCTAGTGAGAGACTTCATTTCAGAATGGTAAATGCTTCCTATTTAAGATATGGGTTCTACTACAATTGAGAGACCCAAAATTGACAAAATCTGCGAGAAGCTTACTTCTCTTTCATTTAAAAATCTGAGCTGGGATTTTGGCTCTCTTATAGAAGTCATCTTTTCTAAAACATTAGAAACAGGCTCAAACAAATTCTAGTTTCCTTTCTTAATGCTGTACCTCTCAGGAAGCTTGGGGGCAAATACGAAAGTGATCTCAGCAATTAGGCTAACCCTTTGATGATTTACATATTCCCATTTTCTTTCTTATATGGCTTGAATTTTCTATTGTGCATCTTAAGAGATACATGTATTTTGTTTTAAGTTACATTTAAATTCTTTGTGTAATAAGGCAGAGTATAAATATTTCTTTAAAAAATATATCCTGATGGCCAAACTTTCAGTTAGCACTAAAGATAAATTAAGAGACCAAAGAGTTTTCCTTAGCTCCCAGTCCTGTCAAGTAACTGAAATCTGTTTGCTTGGTTAGGTGTAAGCCAGTGTACAAGCCACCATTTAAAAGAGCTGCCCCAAATTGAGACTTTTTTTTTCCTATGAGAAAAAAAATTTCTACCAGTAGAATCAAAAAGCAAGAATTCTACACAGAATATAAGACTTAGGCTAGTACTCTGAATTGCACAAAGCACTGAAACATACTGCCTTTAAAAATTGGTGTGGTTCTTACTTCAGAGCTGAGTCTACTCACATAACACTATATACCGGGCGGGCTTCAAAAAGTTTGTGGAAAAATTCCATTATCTTTTCATTCCATCCTCCCACAAACTTTTTCAAGCACCCTTGAACATACATTTTCTCTTGACCAAAGTCTAATTCTTTCTAAGACACTGTTGTCATTAAGTGCTGTCAACTCATAGCAGCCTATATAAGGTTTCCAAGGAGCAGCTGGTGGGTACGAACCACCAACCTTGTAATTAGCAGTCCAGTGCTTAACCTACAGCATCACACCAGGACTCCAAGACACTCAGTAGCATTAATCATGCCAAACTTGACCATTATATTTCATTGTACAGCAGAGATACTTGTTTAATTAAGAGGGAAAAAAAGAAATCCTCTAAACTGTTGCTTATAAAAACAAGAAATCAAAAGAATCGTAAGGTGATAAATAAGAGACTTTTCTTTAAAAGGAAGCTTAGGACCAATATAATTTTAGTACATTTTATAAAAATTTCCTTTATATGTCTTTTATTCATGTGATTGCTTTTCTAGGCATACCTGACTTATCCACTGTGGGAATTTACTCATCAAATGTATTGAAACAAACATAAAGAAAACTCAGTTAAAATAGTCAATGTCAAAATATCTTCCTGCATGTACACTTGTTTGCTTTTTATTTATTTACTTCTTTAGTTAATGCTGTTGTTATGTGCTGTTGAATTGGTTCTGACTCATAATGACCCTGTGTAGGGTTTCTGAGAACAGCTGGTAGATTTGAACTGAAAACCTTGCAGTTAGCAGCCTGGTGTTTACCTTGCAGCACCACACCAGGACTCCAATAATGCTGTTAAACCTACTCGACTTGTGGTGACCTTTGCATGACAGAAGACAGTGCTGTGGGGTCCTGATTTGTCATTAAGTTTGGTGTATGTCTGAGTCCCCTGTCACAGCCAGTGTGAGGGCTTTCACCAAGGGTGCTCATCTCCCAGCACTACATCAAACTGTATTCTATTGTGACCCGTCACATTTTCATTGGCTAATTTTTGAAGATCACCAGGCCTTTCTTCCTACTCAGACTTAGTCTAGACATTCCACTAAAAGCTATCCATCACGAATGACTCTGCTGGTATTTGACATACTGGTGCTATAACTGACAGCATCAACTTGCACATAAAAACAATTAAACTCTTTTCTTAAGAAAGTAGCAATTACAAAAAAACAAACTAAAATTATTGAGTTACAAACCTGAAACTGTGGAATTGTCATCTCAAAGGACTTGTTCTTTACTTGGCCTGAATGATCTGCCACTTTCAGCATCACCGCAACGTAAGGATACTTGAGAGATCTGCAACCATCAGAGCTTACCGCCATAGCCAGTTTCCACTGAAAATCTACAAGCTTTAATAAAACAATACATCAGGAACAACACAGCCTTGAATGCTGACAGTTATTCAATCTTATTGTGCTCATGTCATTATCAAATTTTTATTTCAATGCTGGTCATAAAAGAAAATATCTTCATTTTAATGTTGCTAGGGGAAACAAGAATCAAATGAAAATGGAGAAGAGCAGTAAGGGGCAGAAGGATGTAAAGAGCTATGAAACAATTTTTTTTTAAGTATTCCTGTCATAATTATATCTTTAAAAGGCTGAAACAAAAACCTCCTTTGGGTGGGTCATGCTATCGAGCCAGCTCTGACTCATGATGGCCTCGTGGGTTCTGTACCACGTCCATGATGGTTGGCACGTTTGAGTCACTATTGAGTGACTATTGTGCAGTGTCTTTGAAAGGAGGGGCTCATTCATCTTCCAGCATCCTACTGTACACTGTTCTGTTCTGATCCATAGCAATTTTACTGGATAGTTTTCAGAGATAGATGTCTAGAACTTCCTTCCTAGGCCTTCTATGGAAGCTCCTGTCCACTATGGATGACCCCACACCCTGGGAGTTGAAATATCAGTGACAGAGCTTCCAGTGTCATCATAACATGCACAGCTGCATAGTTCAAAATAATTGGTTTTCCTCACTGGCTTGTAAATTTTGCTCCTGTACTTCAGGGAACTCCAGATGTTTTGAGTATCTCTTATTTCACTTTCCTGTTCTGTATATTCCACCCCCCACTCCACAGCCATAAACTCCTAAAATAGAAGATGGGTTACAGTATCTTCATATCTGTTAGACACACAACTGGGAACAATTCCAGATACCGTCCTCGCCATAGCCCTCAACCTCACAACCTCACACCTACACTAGTGTACTTTCTGAGCCATAAAATGGACCCCTGGTGTGGCACTGTACAGTCATCCCTGGACTGTGAACCACAGGTTGGCAGTTCAAACCCACCAACTGCTCCTCAGAAACTCTATACAGGGTCGCTATGAGTCAGCACCAACAGGATGGCAATTAACAACATTATTTCAGATGCCATCATTGTTCATGAAGATGGGAATGTGTCAGGTGAGGTGCTGGGCATTTTGCATGAATTAAACACCTTTATGAATCATCCCAACATTATAGGTTATTAGTTTCATTTGCAAATGACAAAAACAAATTTCAGAGAGCTTAATGTGCACAAGGTCACACATTTCTGGACATCAGAACTGGAACCAAGGTCTGTTTGATTCCAAAGATTACATGTTTATCGACTATTGGCTGTCTCACTACTTTTTATCTGATTCTTGTCAATGATTATTCAGTGTTCCCAGGACTGTATGAATGCAGTCCTTAACTCTGACTAAAACACATGCTCCTTCATTTCATAGCAAGGAGGAGGGTGATTAACTTTTCAGTCTAGGAGCAGAGGGTCCTGGGACCATAAATGGAGAAGAGCGGAGAGCGGGATCCTACCCAGAGAAGCAGTGATGCCTGAGATGGAGGCAGAGAAGATGATGTGGAAAGATGGAATGACTGGGGACTTGAGATCCAGAGATGAAAGGGGCTGTTTGCTGAGGACAGTGGGGGGTGGGGGGTGGAGGGGCAGGCTTGCAGGGTATACCCTTTGGTTGGGTGATGATGCATGGACGGGATGGTAACTATGGCAATGAAACGATATATGATAGAATGAATGTAAAACTAATGTTCTCCCATGTAAACTATCACATAATTCACAATAAAACATTTATTTGAAAAAACACAACAACAACAAAAACACAAGTTCCTTGATTGGAGGGATTTTGTCTGTTTTGTTCCCAAGGCTTAGATTGAACTCTTTTGCCAGTAGACTCAGAAAAGACTGGTCAGCTAACTGACGTTTTTGTGGTTGTGGCTATCCAGTGAATTCCGATTCCTGGCCACCCCGTGGATGTAGACCAGTACTGTGCTCCACAGGTTTTCAAGGCTGTGATCTTTCTGAAGCGGATCGCCAGGGTGTCTTCTGCGGCACCTCTGGGTAGAGCCACACTGCTAACTTTCAGGTTATAGTCAAGCGTTTAATCATTAGTGCCACCCAGGGACCCCTCATACCTTTATGAGCTTTTTGTTTTAAGATGAGCATTTTAAGATTTTATTAATTAATATCTATATCCTTTTTTTTAATCTATAGGGTTTCATTGTTGCAACATTTTATTGTGCTTTGGATGAAAGTTTGCCTAGCAAATTAGATTCCTATTCAATAGTTCATACACAGATTGCTCCATGACATTGGTTGTAATCCTCACAATGTTTTTGTATTCTCTATATTTCTACCCTAGGAGCTCTGGTAGCGTAGTGGTTATGAATTGGGCTGTGAATTGCAAGGTCAGCAGTTCGAAACTACTAGCTGCTCCACAGGATAAAGATGAGGCTTCTGCTCCCATAAAGATTTACAGCCTCGGAAACCCTATTCTAAGTCACTATGGGTCAGAACCAACTCGACGGCACTTAACAACAACAACATATTTCCACCCTGGGCTATTTCCATTAGTCAGGTTTCCTTGTCCCTTCCTTTCTCATCTTTGGTTTAGGACAAATGTTACCATTTTGGTCTCCTGCAGTTCATTGTTCAGAAGGGCAGTGGTTCTGTAGGATAAAGCACTAGACTGCTAATCACAAGGTTAGTGGTTCAAGTCCGCTACCTGTTCCATGAGAGTAAGGTGATGCTTTCTCCTCTGCAAAGATTTACAGCCTTGGAAACCGTGTACAGGGTCACTATGAGTCAGAATCAACACGATGATACTCAGAACAACATCCTCCAGTTTTATCCATGTTGTGAGATATTTCACAGGTTTATCATTATTTTTTATCATTGCCTACCCCTGGTGAAGAGACCATGGAACA